AGAAACTAATGAAGGCTGCGGAGACATTTCGCTAGTTAAATCTATGCCTGGGGCATATATTTTAAGATCAATAGTACTTTAAAGTTATCAAAACTGCAGTTGGGTTTGTGCCGTTAAGCCGTCTGTTGTAAAGTGCTCCACAATGTTGCGCCACGGTGCTTCTGGCTCCCCGTATACCCACTCTCAGTAACTATAATGGGTTGTACTTAAAAATGACGGTGCGGACGCGGCGCCTTCGCCTCCAGTTTTCCCAGGATTAAGGTGTTTAATGAAGTTTTACTTTTAGTTTTATTGACGAGACACTAGGGGGTGCTAAAAACAAGCCAAAACTGCTAAGTCTCCAATTAATGTAAAAAAAAATACTTTTTCTTATTCAACTCAAAATACTTTTTAAAAGTATCTATAGCATTAATATAATTGTATTAGATTTTTAGAGTTTAATTAGATGATAGGTTGAGCTTTTTGTGCACGTTTAGTTTTTTTGCACAATAATCTTCCATATTTAATCACTTAGCATAAACATTTTACACAGTGTGTCATGGTATGGAGAGAGTTTTTTCCTTATCCATAGTAATTAATTTTTGAGTAATCTAGAAATGGAGACAAGAACAATGAGGACAGAAGTTGTGCACGTGAAAAGCATTAACCAAGGTTCATACAGTCATTACTCTGTCACCATTAACCAAATTAGGAACGTGTTCATCTCCATATTTCACAGAGAAAAAGATTACTGTAACAAAAAATAGAACACAAATGGTGTTAAAGCCTCTGATGGGTCTGGCACATTTGAGTTGTTATTTGCAATAAGAAATATAATTAAGAGTGTTTTACAACAGGAAATCAAAAACACATCAGAGCCTACAGAAATGTGATTAACAAACAATGATTTTCAGTCTGCTGGCTCATATGACTGTGGTGAAAGCATCAGGCTGAGGTCAGGTGAGGGCCATTAATGATCCTAACAAAAAAAAGCTTTAGGCTTCGGTCCTAAAACTGAGTTTCTGCTTCAAGCTGAAGCACAGCAGACTCCATTGTGTGAAGAAGGCTCTGGAAAACAAAAGGTTAGCACTCTTTAAATCATGCAACAGGAAGTTATTGACGACTTTTTATTAAACACCCAAGCACAAAAGTTATTGTACCAAACTTATGCTTCAGCATAAAGGATTTAATTAATGGGAATGAGGTTAAAAATGGACAATTAATTTAATCAATTGCTGGAACTCATTGATGTACATGTGATTCAAATCAGGTTATGTTCATGTCAATTGAAGGGTTTCAGGCAAATGATCATTTTTGTAGATACCTAAATAAAAACAAACAGCCATGGAAAGACTATGAATAAATAATAATATACCTGTTGTAGAAATGGAGATTTAGCCTCAGTTTAGAGAAACAAAGAAGACTGACAAGCTAATGGCTAGTCGGAGGCTTTTCTAAGATCAAGAATGTCATATTCTTTCTTTTATAAAGTTTTACACTCAGCAAAGTTTACATTATAGGATCATTCACATTGAATTATTTATTTTTTGTGTGCAAATAACATCAGAAGAAGCTGGGAGAATAAGTATTTTACACATTATCATGTATATCAGCATTGACACAAAATGTGCACCAGATGTTGCCGTAAAGCCAAATATTGAATTCACACAAAGAAATCAGAACATTTAAGCATACAAGTTAAGTGATAATAAATAAAGTGAAATGCTGAACACATTTTATTTAATACTTTGTAGAAAAGCCTTTGGTGATGATTAGCTTCTCGATGCCTTTTGTATGGAGTTATCAGTCATCTGCATTGCTCAGGAGTGATTCCTTGACCTTCAGTTCTCCCCATTGATTTCCATGGGATTTAGGTCAGGTGATTGACCGGGCCATTCAAGCAACTTGAATTTCTTTCTTTGACACCACTTCATGGATTCCTTGACCTTGTCTTTGGGATCATTGTCTTGCTGAAATGTCCACTCTCTTTATTTTCTGCTTTCTGGTAGATGTCAGCAGATTTTTATCCAGAATGTCCCAGTACATTTCTCCATTCAACCAGCCTTCAATAATATGAAGTCTACCAGCACTTCTTGCTGAAAAGCAGCCCCACACCATGATGCTTCCACCCCCCAAACTCAACTGTTGGTTCTGTGTGCTTGGGGTGGTGGGTAGCATCATTTCTTCTCCAAACATGGTGTGTAGAATGACAACCAAAATGTGCAGTGTTGCTTTCATTTGATCATGCTGTAGTCTCCCAGTGACCCAGGCTTCTCCAAATCCTGTTTCATTTTGAGCCTCAACATGCCTTTTGTTCAGCAATGGAGTCTTGTGTGGTGAGCATATATGGATGCCATGGGGTCTCTGGTCAGTGTGCACAGATGCCATGGGGTTGTGAACGTGCTTGGATGACATGGCGGCTCTGATGAGTGTGCACGGATACCATGGGGTCGTGAGCATGCATGGATGCCATGGCGGTTCAGTGCATTGCTTATAGTCTTTGAAACAACAGTACCTGCTGATGCAAGGTCTTCATGAAGTTCTGCACAAGGGGTTCTTGGCTCTTGGAGAACGCTCCTGATTGTTCTTTGGACTCCTTGGACAGGAATCTTAAGTGGAGCAACTAATTGTGGCCAGTTTAAGGTGATCTCATGCTGTTTCCATTTCTGGGTAAATAGCCACAGTGCTCAACAGAACATTCATCGTTCTAGAAATGCAGCTATAACCACTCCAGTCAGAAAGTTTTTCAACAATAACATTACAAAGATCGTGGGAGAGTTCTTTGCTTTTACCCGTCATCAAGTCTTTCCTGTGTGCTTCTTGGGTAACAAGAAGTCTTTATAGGACATTAATTGGGACTAAAGCTGCTTACATCAAATTAGTACTGAGAGGAGGCGGGGTTCGTCTCTCAATACTAACTGATGATTTTAGATGATCTCCTGGCTTTCTTTGCCATTTTGCACCTTGTCATCTTCATGTGTCATACTTTTTCCCTGTGTTGTTTTGTCACTTTATTACATATAACTCATTTTATGGACTTAAATGTGTTGATGTCTTTGAATGAATAAAATACTTGAGTTAAAATTGACTTGTGGTTTAATTTTTGTGTCAATAGCCCGGTTAGAAAAATCCTCACTGATACAACTACTGAAATGTCCAACACTTATTCTCCTCACTGTATGTTTGAGAATAATCAGCTCAAAAACGACACAATCAAAACAGATTTTCAAGATTAAAATCTGACTTTTACAACAAAAAACGCACATTAACAAATAATAAATTTGATTTGATTCAGTCTGTCTCAGTCAGGCTTTTCTTTGGGGGCAAAACAAGAAAACAGCAGCTTTAAAACATGTCTTATGACTCGCTCGACTCTCGGGGATAATCGGTGACATGTTGGACTCGTGATGGCTAACTGGATTTTCAAACTAAAGGAGGACAATGGGCACATTTACAAACAAGGCTGACTGAAAAGGCCTAGCTTCACAGTTTAAAGCCTCTGCAAAGTTTAAAACTTAGAATTATCAAACATCTTCCTTCAAATAAAAGAGGGTAAAACAAAGCTTTATATATAATTTAGGATACTAAGGTTTTGTCTGTTTGTCTTCGTCTTTTATTATAAAATTAGAACGTTAGTTCCTCTTCTCTTTGACTCCAATTTGGACCAATGAGGCTTTTATTATACAATTCACACTGTTACTGCTGTAGCAGAGAGTTAACACAGCTCTATATAAACATCTGGATTTAAAGGAAACGATCAGAATACTTCCAGATGATATGTGGAGTGGAACAGATTGGGTCAGGAGATCAGAACCGTGTTTTTTTGTTTGTTTTATTTTATTTTCTGGATCTCTGCTTTTCTGTACATGTTTGTTTCCGACACAATAAGAAAAACATCTCATGGAGGGTCATGCTTCGTAACATTTTCAAACATAATTTCATCTGTGCAGCTAATGAACTACGGCTTGCACTGGTTTGTCCTCAACAAACAAGCACTTATTCCTCTAAATCTTGCACAGAATGTTTTATTTTTCGTCTCCACCGATTATTTTCTCAGAAAAGTCCACAAATTTGGAAATATAAGTTGTTTTTTGTTTCGAGGCTGACCTTAAATCTCTGTAATTTTCTTGGTGTGACACAATCTGATCCCTGGGCAACTAATTCTCTGGGGGTTTTGTTGCTAAGTGCTTCTAAACACTGGATTTTGGTTTTAATTGCTGTGGTTAATGAGTTTAAGTGTGCTAAAATATATGCGTCACACTGGCCAAACCCTTCTGGAAATGAGCTTTTTGTTTGTTCTGGTGAGCAGTAGTCCATGTGCAGTTTTTTATTTTATTTCATTTTATCTGAGCAGAGCAAGAAGAGGGGACATGGAGGTTTTCCCACTCTGCCGCCAACCTGCTGTCTTTTTCAGCTGTCAGCTCTGACGGACCATTTTAGCCATAAAAGGATGAAATCTCTCACACAAGAAATGTTTCAAGTGCCTTTTAACCCCATCCTGCCATCATTTTCTATGAGAATATAAAACCAGTAAAATAAAAGGTCCAACTTCTGCTTGAAATGATTAGAAATCTTCACCTTTTCAAAGAAAATACTTCTTATTTTTGTTTTTTTTGTTATCTTATTCTAATCTGAGTAATGTTGCAAACATTCAAATTAAAGAAAGAAGTTCAGTAGGATATATAGTAGCTGTTCTGCAGAGGTTTTCCCTTTCCTGTCTGAAGAAGAGGGGGTGGAAAATAGAGATTAACTACAATTAGCACTGACTGACCTCCTCCCCCGCGACTGGACACCAGTCCTTTTTTTAACAAGGCGCCTTACAAAAGAATGCCTACATCCCAATTCTCTCAATTATGCAAACTAGGTTGAAATCAAAGTAGATAGCAGAGGAGGGGGGTGAAAGTTGTGGTTTTTTTTTTAAATAAAGTAGTGGGCGAGCTTCTTATGGACATGGCTGTTGTACTTTCAGGTTTAGGATGCTCGGTCTGCTCCGTCTCCTCACACAAGATGTGGAAACAAAGAAAGAATGGGGGGAAAAAAGAAGTTTGAACAAATTGGGAGATTAGGGGCCAGTTATCAAAGTGGATTTATTGTGCCTCGTTCAAGCGGAGGATGAAAATACCCTGTGGGCATGCAGAAAGGGTCATGGGACTCCCAAAAGGATTACCTTGAACTGGAGTCATGAGACTTGGGCGAACAAAGACCCTGCTCACATGCTCATCATATTAACCGGTCCTCATAAAGTGAAGAAGTTTCATGTGTCGTGGGATTCGACTGGGAGCGCTTGACTGGGAGAGGAGCAGAAGTTCCTTCAGCTTTTAGAGCCTGAAGGTGCTGCAGCAGCAGAAATGGTGACTCTGAAGCTCCAACAGAGGACTGAGTGTGAGTTTATTCTGCAAATGCTAGTCTTTTGTAAACTAATCTTTGCATTTTTTTTAATAAGAAATGGTGGACTGCTACCTGGCGGGGTGGATTCTAGACCCTGGAAAGAGAATTTGGGTGAGATAAATATGAGCAGGCAGCACTGCAGGAGCTCTGGATGCTCAGTGATGCAAGAGAGAAAACAGACAGAGAGCTGCCAGGACAAGAAAAACAGTTTAGGGTCCAAAACAAAAACAGGATGGCGACGTTTTCGCAAAAAAAAAAAAAAAGAATAAATTCATTAAAATACAATTAGCAATTAAAAGTAACAAACAGAAAATTAAGAAATGTTCATGTGATATAAAACGACAACAAGAAAATATAGAAGCCGATAATTAATGTGAAGGTAATGTTTATTCACTCAGAAGCTGTACCTAAACAACGATCTACTCAAAAATATAAGTTGAACTCATTTAGTTAAAGAAAAATATGCAAAAATTATCCCTTCTAACTAACAAATAGATATTTAAATAACCCCACCTGTCTACATTTGTTTAAATCAAACGGTTTGAGGTGGTTTGTGTTTATTCTGAGCTGCTTGGAGCATCCGAGAGGATAAAAAAATATCGGAAGATTTCAGCGTTACAGCTCAAAGAGAGAATTTTTAAATCAATGAAACATTTCTTTTCTGTTTTTGTTTGCTGTAAAGCTTCATTTCAGATGATGTGGTTTCAACTGGACAGCCTCAGCATGTTAGATCTGCCACTTCAGGGTGTTTTAGCTCGGACCTGGAAACGGTCAAACAGCACATTTTATTTCTGTGTGGACCTTTTCACTGATCAAACTGAAACTCATGATGTTTATATTTATATTTATCACCCAGATGTTTAAATTCTCCTCTGTTAAGATGAAACACATTCAATGGGATTCAAACTCACTTTTTGATCCATGGCTGCAGCCGATAAAATTTCCAGACTGGACCGTAACATTTCTGTAACGTTCTGTATTTGCAGGCACACAAAGTCTGGATTGAGAGGACATTTGTGAAAAGAGAATGTGTTCACATATTCCCCAGCAAGGATCCAGCCAGGTAATTCTCACATTCTACTGGAAATTTGTTTTATTGCAACTGTAATAAGCCCAAAATGAGGTGATTTCTTTTTTTTAATGAACTCATGTATGACAGCTGTTGACAGAGTTCATTTCACCTACGTTTTTCAAAACAGCAAATAATAGCAGATGAATCGCATTTATTAATGAAACCCCAAATGTAAAAATACCTGAACGGCAGTCTCTTAAAGGGATCGAAGCAGCTTGGGCTTCAGTGAAAACTGAAGAAGTGGTTTTAGAAGTGGACCTGTGTGATCGTTCACCTGCAGGTGCTCCTGTGGTCAGCTGGTCACGCAGCACGTCGCCATCCCTCCTGGAGCCAACTCCATATCAGAGGCCACCCCCCTGGTGCAGATCGAGGCTCCAAGTGATAAATGGAGTGTGGTGAAGCACACCAGGACGTACCCAACCGACTCCTATGGGATCATCGAGTTCCAGGGAGGAGGGTTCATCAACAAGGCCATGGTGAGCTACTAAAAACTGTGTTTCACACTGTGGAACCAGGTGACCAGAACCTTGTTTCTTTTTCAGTACATTCGGGTTTCGTACGACACCAAGCCTGACAACCTCCTGCATCTGATGGTGAAGGACTGGCAGCTGGAGCTGCCCACTCTGCTCATCTCGGTCCACGGAGGTCTCCAGAACTTTGACCTCCAGCCCAAACTCAAGCAGGTGTTTGGCAAAGGCCTGATCAAAGCAGCCGTCACCACAGGAGCGTGGATCTTTACGGGCGGAGTCAACACAGGTGGGGGCGCTCACACTTTCTAATTGAAACCAGCCAGTGGCATTAGAAGATTGCCTCTGCTCTAAATTTACCATTACATAAGTCCTATTTTGCAATTTCCTTTTCTGAGCCATCGTTGCAGGTTGAAGCTCTATAATTAGAGTTTTAGCCGGGGGAAAAAAAATCACAAATTGCTTCTGAGGGGATTTTTATGTGCGGTTGCCAAAGCGCATCTCATGATGATGACTTGTGAGGATTCTGAAAGACTCACACTGACGTGGTTTGCTGATCACAATGTAGGGGTGATCCGTCACGTTGGAGACGCCTTAAAGGATCACTCCTCCAAATCACGAGGCAAGGTCTGCGCGATAGGAATCGCTCCATGGGGGATCTTGGAGAACAAAGAGGACCTTATTGGAAAAGATGTAAGAACAGCTGCGTGTTTTTTTGAAGTTTTGTGATTTGCTGGTATTGGTTCATTCCTATTTCGGTGCTTTGTAGGTGACCAGACCCTACCAAGCGATGGCAAACCCCCTGAGCAAGCTGGCAGTGCTCAACAGCAGCCACTCCCATTTCATCCTGACTGACAACGGCACCTGTGGGAAGTACGGCTCTGAGGTCAAACTCCGCCGACTCCTGGAGAAGCACATCTCTTTGCAGAAGATTAACACTCGTGAGTCTCTCAGTTGCTCTGCAGGTCCTGAACGATGTGAGCCAGAATCTTACAGGATGACTGGATGGAGAGGTCCTCTGTGACCTGTGGGCTTCCCTTTGTCATCCTATGCCTGGAGCTTGGATAAGGCAGGGACAGCAAAGGGATGCTCAGCTGTCACCACTGACTTCACCTCACTCTCCCCGCTGTTCTGCGGTTTTGTTCTCTTTTGCTGAAACGAGGTGAGAGTTTAGTGCTACAACCAGCTAGAGAAATCTGTCCGCCTGTCTCCTTCAGGTCTAGGTCAGGGGGTTCCTCTCGTGTGTCTGATCGTGGAGGGAGGTCCAAACGTCATCTCCATCACCTTGGAGAGCCTGAGGGACGAGCCTCCCATCCCGGTGGTGGTGTGCGATGGCAGCGGACGTGCTTCTGACATCATTTCTTTCGCACACAAGTTCTCAGAGGACGGAGGGTAATATTTTAGAGGACTCGTGTGTGACTTCCCTCTGGTACTGCTCTGAACCTGAAACACCGTTTTTCTCCTTTAGCTTGGTAAGCGATGACGTCAGAGACCAACTTTTAGTCACCATTCAGAAGACGTTTAATTATAGTAAAAGCCAGTCTCAGCAGATTCTGCTCATGGTAATGGAGTGCATGAAAAAAAGGGAACTGGTGAGTAACGGTGATAATAACGTGTCTGCGTGAACCAATAAACACTTTTGAGTTGTGAAGCATCTCGTTTCCTTCGTCATTCATTCCACTCATCTGTGTCTCCCTCTGTTTGCACCCAGAACAAACCTAATCCATCTATCTGTTTGCCTTTTGGTGCTCATGTCTTCACCCCTCTGAAAATGAGTCCACGGTGTTAAACTTCTCACTTTTATGTAAACAATAAAGCTCAACACTGATCCTAAGAGTCTGATAGCAGATTAATCCCCAATCTGGGTGTTTTTTCCCTCCAAAGTGTTTGCAGAAGGCCACAAATAGCATCAAGGATTGCTCATCTTGAGCAGATCCCTCAATAAGTGATGTGATAAGTACTTGGTAATACCCACTTCGTATAATCTCCATGCCATATTCATTTAAATGAGAAAGATCAGGGCTCACTCTCGTCTCATCAGTTCACAGAAGACACACATCTGTCTCCATAATCCCCGAACAGGTCACTTTCTCCTGGTTTTCACTCTGCAAAGTGCAATCACTTCACCATGAACTCTGTGCCCCACGTCCCTGGTGTTTTAGACCCAGATGAGCCACAGATTTCTCTTTTAAAGATCACCTAAAGCCTTAAAATTCTCTCATTCCTGATTCATGCAGTGTTGCATGACTTTTTTTTATTAGTTTAAAACTTTCTGTTTACAGCGATATGAAAAGGTCACAATGGCTTTCAGTGTCTAAACAGATGTGGGATGCTCGTTGTTATCAAACCCCAAGGCCAGTTGGGGAATCCTAGGCGTTCTGCCACAAATTCATGCTGGACTAATTCAATCCATCACAGTTAGGCATGTGACAGAAGCGTCAGCGCAGCTTAAT